TCTTGTCTTCTCCTAGTGCCTTATTGCCTAGAATTTTCTTTAGGATCCTTTTAATAGTTTCGGGTTTAACCTAGGTGTCTCTTAGTATACCTAGTAGTAGAGTCTCTTATTCTTTCTCCTTTATATCTAATAGGTCTACTTGTACTTTTCTATAGAAGAAGTATTAGCCTAGGGCTCTTGCTTTCCCTTCTATTATAGTCTATATTTGTCTTTATTAGTCTATAATGTCCGGGAATTGTAGTAGTATATCTTTATCCTATTCGGGTCTCCTTGCCTATTTAGTAATCCTCTATATCTCCTCTAGTTTCTTTGTAATTATTCCTATTATAGATCTCTATTTTTGTATCTTGTCTTTCTTAATCTAGATCTTCTTTTCCTAGTAGGCTTTATTGTAGTTGTCCTATGCTTCCTAGGTATAGGTTTATATCTACTGCCTCCTAGCCTTCTTTGCTACTTTAACCTTCCTTATATACTTACTAGTCTAGTATAGTTGCTAGTATAGTAAATGTTTCTTTGCTAGGATATACTTTCTAGCTACCTGTTTTAGGATTCCTATTAGTTCTTCTACTGCCTTGTTAATGTCCTCTAGCCTTAGTAGGTGCTTTGTTAAGAGTTCCTCTAGTTTTAGGTTCCTTTCTAGTTCCTTCCTAATCCTGCCCTATTAGGTACCTTTCTAGTTAAGCTTCTCCTCTAGTTCCCTTTCCTAATTAGCTTAGACATTTAGCTTAATCTGCACCGGGAAGTAGTCTAATAATTCTTCTAGTTCCTAGTTAACCCTATATCTTGTAATCCTGTTCCTAATCTAATATAATGCAAAGTATAGGTCTAGTATACTACTGCTTCCTCTTGCCTCCTAAGTAATTAGTCCCTTTAGGGTAACAATTTCTATTCCTTCCCTCTCTAATATATCAATTAGTCTTCCTGCTAGGAAGTAGTAAGCTAAGGTAAAGTCTAAGCCCTAGAGGGGGTAGTAGAGGTTGAAATCCCTAAGTAGGATTTAGTAGGTGTTCCCCTAGATAACTCTAGGTAGTCTTTCTAGGGTTTTTAGTTAGGTACTGCTTCTTAAGTCTAGTAGTAGGTTGTATATATAGTAGACTTAGAGTATACCTTAGGATGTCTCTACTTGAACTAATATTAGGTCCCTATCCTCCTATAGTATAGCCTGCTAGGTTTCTATATCTATCTCCTTGCTAATATAGATGCATATCCTTAGGGCTCCCTAGTTGTAGATAATTAGGTAGTATCTTAGGTCTTTGACTATTACTAGTCTCTTTATATATAGGTTAAGCTAGGGCTCTTAGATTATAATAATATAATGTTCTTTTAGGTTTAGTACTTAAAGGAAGCTCCTCTATACCTTGTCTTTGCTCTTGTTAATATTGTACTATATAATATTTAGTAATATTGCAATGTTTATTAGGTTTTATCTATATTATTTCCCTATAAGTTTTCCTTTAGTCTTCCCTTACTTTAGACTAATATTTAACTAAGCTTTGTCTGCCCTGCTTCCTTTCCTGCAATGTTAAGGTATCTTAGTCTCCCTAGTTGCTAGTAACTCTCTTATACTAGTAAGGCCCTAAATGTAAACCTATTATCTTATCTAGACCTCTTTTGTAGCACTTAGCTCGGTTGCTTCTATACCTAGCTGCCCTAGCTTATTATATATCTTTTTAGTATATTGATTCTAGCTTCCTTTGCCTTCCTAGCTGCCTATATTCTTACTAGGTATTCCTTCGCCTATAAGGGGTGTCTTTTAGTATAGCATATATATCTTGCTTCTCCCTTATATGCTTTGCATTCTTTAACCTAGTAATCCCCTATATAATAGGAGTAGGTATTAGTTGTCTTTATATACTTAGCTACTAAGTGTCTATAGTGTTAACATTTAAAGCACTGCATTATCCTATAGTTGCTTCGGTGTATCTCTGTTTCTAATCTTTTAAAGTCCTAGAACAACCCCTAGTCTAGTACTATATTAGCTTGCTCTGCACTCCCTACCTAGATAATTAGGGAAGACTACTTCTTAGTCTCTTCGATTTTCCTTTTAATCTATACTACTTTTGTAATCTTTAGGCCTAGGTATATAGCTTAGTTTTGTCTCTATAGGCTCTTAATATCCTGTTCTTCCTTAAAGCTTCTTATTATACTATAGGCTATAATTATAAATTGCTATTAGGAGACCTTTACTGTTTTCCCTATTTTAGTTGTCTATTCTTTTTATATTTCTAGCTTCTTTTTGTCCTACTCTTATGCTATAAACAGCTTAATTATCCTTTTACCTTCGTTCCTAGCCCTAATTACCTCTTTAACTATAATTCTTTCTACAATCTCTTTCCCTATAAGTCCTTAGATTTCCTTTTACTCCTATAGGTCCGTAATATAGACTCTAACTACTGTCCTCGAGGGTTTTAGCGCCTCCTAACTAGCTACTACTACCTAGGTGCGGTAGTTTGGGCTTATCTCCTATTGTTTCTTCGTAATCTTTACTACAACTATATTAGCTACCTTTGTAATTACGTAGCTTACCTAGTTGTAGATTGCTTTTAGTCCTCTAAGGAGTTCTAAGATTATTATCCTATATACCCTCTTAGGGGTTCTTCTATCTTCCGCCTTTAGTACCTCTTCTGCCCTAGTATATAGTGCTTTCTATTCGTCCTCCCTTCCTTCTTAACTGTCTTCCCTTCGTCTCTAATTGTTCGCTACTATTCTCTCCCTCTCGATCGATCGTTTTACTTTAGCTATATACTAAAATAGCGATTTGGACTTTAGTAGCAAATTTACTAGTAGTAAAAGTTATTAACCTTAGCTTAAAGCATATAAACAAAACTTAATTATTTAGGCTATATATAGAATATATACTAAAAGAATAGATATACTACCTTAGTAGAGGCCTAGATATATTATATATAACCCCCTAATTACTAGCAGTTATCCTCTAGCTAGTAGGTCTAGTAGTATAATTCTTAGAGATTAATAGCTTTAAGCTATACTATCTAGCTATTATAGATTTAGCTATTATACTACTTATTTCAAATTCTACTACTAGTCCCCCGATAAATTATATAGTTAAGAGTATAGAATACTAAATTACTAACTTCTAAATAGAGATAGGTCGATTAGTAGAGGTCGATTAACGGTTCGACTAATAGTTTAATTAATAGTTTAATTAATAGTTTAATTAAAAGTTTGATTAATAGTTTGATTAATAGTTTGATTAATAGTTTGATTAATAGTTTGATTAATAGTTTCATTAATAGTTTGATTAATAGTTTGATTGATAGTTTGATTAATAGTTTGATTAATAGTTTGATTAGTAGTTTAAGAAGAAGTTCGATTACTAGTAATAGTTTAATTCAAAACGTAATTAGTAGTTTAATTAATAGTCTAATTAATAGTTTAACTAATTAAACCGTTTAATTAGTAGTTTAATTAGTAGTTTAATTAATAGTTTAATTAGTAGTTCGATTAGTAGTTTTAGTTTAATACAAATTTTAGTTAGTACTTTAGTAGTAGCTAGTCCCCTAATAAATTATATAGTTTAAAGTATATAATACTAAACTACTAGCTTCTAAATAGAGATAGGTCGACTAGTAAGTTAATTAGTAGGTCGATTAATAGTTCGATTAATAGTTCGATTAATAGTTCGATTAATAGTTCGATTAATAGTTCGATTAATAGTTCGATTAATAGTTCGATTAATAGTTCGATTAATAGTTTAATTAATAGTTTAATTAATAGTTTAATTAGTAGTTTAATTACTAGTAATAGTTTAATTTAAAATTAAATTAGTAGTTTAATTAGTAGTTTTATTAGTAGTTTAACTAGTAGTTTTATTAGTAGTTTAATTAGAAATTTAATTAGTAGTTTAATTAACTATTTAATTAATAGTTTAATTAGTAGTTCGATTACTAGTTTTAGTCTAACGGAAGTTTTAACTAGTATTTTATTAGTAGCTAGTCCCCCGATAAATTATATAATCTAAAGTATACAGTACTAAATTACTAACTTCTAAATAGAGATAGGTCGATTAGTAGGTCGATTGTTAGGTCGATTAATAGATCTATTAGTAGTTCGATTAGTAGTTTAGCTAGCAGTTCGATTAGCAGTTTGATTACTAGTAACGTTTTAATTTAAAATCTCGTTAGTAGTTTAATTAGTAGTTTAACTAGTAGCTTAACTTGTAGTTTAATTAGTTGTTTTATTAGTAATTTCAAAAATAGCTTTGTTAGCTGTTTAATTAGTGGTTTAATTAGCAGTTCGATTGCTAGTTTTAGTTTTACGAAAATCCCAATTAGTATTTCGCTAGCAGTTTCTTTAACAGCCCTACTAGCAGTTTCACTAATAGTTTTGTTAGTAGTTTTGTTAGTAGTTTTGTTTCTAGTTTTCCCTTTAATCTTTAATTAAATATTACTTCTGCTAAAATTCTTAGCTAATTATTTCGGTCTTAGCGGATAACTTAGATTTTCGCGGGCGGTAGGCGCGGTATCTAGATTAGTAGCTATAGTACTAATTATTTCGGTATTAGCGGACAACTTGGATTTTAATACTAGCTAGTACTAGCTAATAGTCCGAGCTAATACTAGCTAATACTAGCTAATACTAGCTAATACTAGCTAATACTAGCTAATACTAGCTAACACTAGCTAATACCTACGCCAAAATCCGGGGTAAGTCAAATTTCCCCCTAACACTTGTTTCGATTAACGTTCTACGCTAAAATCCGGGGCAAGTCAAATTCTATATCAACTTTGATGACGCTAAAATCCGGGGCAAGTCAAATTTCCCTTTAATATTTGTTTCGGTTAACGTTCTACGCTGAAATCCGGGGTTAGTCAAATTCTATATCAACTTTGATAGTACAATTGGCTCTGCAAAAATTCTCAGCCAATCATTCGGGTCTTAGCGGACAACTTAGAATTTCGCGCGCGAGGGCGCGGTCCTCAGATTGGCAGCAAGCTGCCAAACACACTGGTAGGGGGAGAGTGGATCCGATCTGTCCTCCTTATATGCATAACCAGATTTTGCATAGATACGAAGGTTCAATGTAGCTGAAGCCAAATTTCCGATCTTGAAGATTCAAGATCGATGGACGGCTGATCGTTTCAAGGTTACGCTGGCGTTGGACCGTTTGCTACCGGCATTGCCCTCTTGCTGACCAAGGTCCTCCTCACACAACATCGTAATAGCCACGTCCTTCCCTTCTCAACCATTTCATGCGCCTGAAAAGCAGCTGGTGGATGCCGATCCAGGATTTACCACTTCATAATCGTCTATGCCATGAAATCTCGCCATTTCCCATCCGTGGAGTACCAACAACCATCATCTGAGGAATGAATGGTCCAAGTTCCAACCCCGAGGAACATGGCATGATCCTCTCCGGTCGCGTGAACTCTGTCGTAAGTGTGACTCTGTCGTCAGCGACTCCAAAGCTGTGTGAAACGGCGGCAGCGCCCAATCTGGAAAGCTCCGGCCGAGACTTTGTGGTGAAGGCTGTAGGGCTGATTTGATTTGATGCCAGAGAACGTCGAGGCGTACCTCGAAGGCACGATGGATTGTACCACCTTCGAGCGAAAACTGCCCTCGGCCAGTGTTGCGTAGCCCTGCGTCTCTCCGTCTTCGCCGGGCCTTTGGCTTGCGCTGGTTTGTAGAAATGCCTTGCAGTGACTCTGGAGTCTGCTGCGTTCGGTCCGAAGTGCACTCAAGTCGTGCCCATGACATGCGCCCAAAAGCCACTGCTCTTCTCAGCGGGGGGTGAAGGCCTCAAAAATCCGTTGCTCTCCACTTTCACAGGCACATCGTCATCCCACCCTTCGCTGTCGCTGGGATCGTGCCAAGTCAAAGCTGGGTTTGTTGCCCAAAATGGACTTGTCCTCGACGTCTGGACGCTGTCAAGGATACTCGAATCGCAAGTCGATATTGTCGAGCACTCAGTCTCGCCGCTGCTCGAAATTGTAGGAGATGACTGTACCTGCCTCCGCTGAAGCACTCTCCAAAGCATCCAGCGAATCACCCAGTTTCCCTCGTCCTGAGTCCAGGCAAGATCGTATATGCCTCGAGTCTTGATGGACGCGGTTTCATATATCTTGGTGACCTGGCGTTGGAATGCAAATTCCGATATGTGAGCAACGCTGAAGGGAGGTTGTATGGTGTCATCATCGACGTATTCAGCTTCCAAGCATTTCCGACTTTCAAAGAGTCGCTTCATGCCGGCCACTGCTTCGCGCTACATCGAAAGTCAGATCGAGGCGCGGTGGTGCGGCGGTGCGGCGGTGCGGCGGGAGAGAATTCCGTACCTTCATCCTTCGATACAACATTCTATGCCTGTACGTCCGCTCAGACAGACCGATGTGATGTAAGAAGTTGGCGCGGCTATCGTCCGGGGCGACTATGATACCCGTAGGGCCGTCGAAGGATAGAAAGTCATCGAGGCTCAGTCGCGTGCACAAGCGTGTTTCTGGCATGGGTGTTGGTCGAGGAAAGAATGGAATCAGTGCGGAAAGCAATGTGTCGACTAAGGTAATTTGGCGGCAGAAAAGCGAATGGCGTACGCGAGAAATCTTCTGGCCTGAGTCGTTCTATTCTGTCGATCTTTCTAGGCATACCGAGTGGAAAGCATGTAGCTGTCGCAAAGGAATTGTTTCGGCGATGGTGTTCGGTTGGACGGAGAGGCGTGCGACGGCCGACGGGATGCGCACGAAGCCATATACGACGCCGGGCAGGAGATGGATTCGAACTTGGGAGCCTTACTAGTGTGGTGGTGTGGCGAATCACCTGGCCTGAGATGTGCTTGGGTCTGGGCAGTGATCAAGTGGGATTCCTGAGGCTGAACAACCGGGTGGTGTCCGGGCGTCTTCCTATCGGCAAGCTGGCCCATTTGTCGGCTGAACAGCAAGCCCATGTGCTTGCATACAAGCCTGTTGCCAGCAGGATATTCCAATTGGTCGGATTGAGTACCGGTGCAGCCGGACGAGCACCCCGACTGGAAGACACGCTTCTGAAAGCTAATCTACCGTACCTGCTCGCGCAATTGACGACGATCGACGGCTCGCGTAATTCTTGCCTTGCCTTGCCGTGCCGTGCCGTGTCGTGCCGTGCCGTGCCTTCGCCCGTCATCGTCATCTCCATCGCCGTCGCCATCGCCATCGCCATCGCCATCGCCATCGCTTCGGTCCGCCTTGCTCGTGTTGATGATGAATGTATTGCGGCGCGGTGCATGAAAGACAGAGGCAAGAAGGTGGGGTTGATACGGGCAGCATTGTGCTACCATGGCTGGCGTGGATTTGTCGGTGGCAATGCGTCGTCGTGCTTGCGAAAAAAAAGTCGACTGGTGCGTGACATGGGCTGGAGTTTAAAAGTCGGGAGGACGGCGGCAGTAAACTCTGTGACCCTTACCCTTGCCCTTGCCCTTGCCGGGCGTCTCGGGGAATCGGAATCCATCCCGTCCACGCCATCCCGTGCCATGCTCCGAAGGATCTTGCCGAGAAGGAAGAACTCCGATCACACTCGCCGAAAGAGCCGTGACTATGCAACTTCCCTTCTGGTCCCAAGCCCATGGTTCTTGCCCAACCGGCAATAACACGCTGCACCTGGACCTCAGGACAATCTGCGGAATACATTGTGTGGCTACGGCAGACTGGCCACATCGATAGCCTGAATCTCCTTGCTCCCATACAAGCTCACAAGAATCTTCCTCCCATCAGGACTCAATGCCATCTCTCTCGGAAACAGGCCCGTTGGAATGCTTCCTAGAACAGCCTTCTGTCCCTTACCATTCAACGCAGCCTTGACATCGACAACCGACAACCCAGACGTCGCATTCGGCAAGTTGAATCTGTTCGAGTCCGCTGTGATGATCCTCTGACCATTTCTCGCAAAAACATGTCCGATCGGCGACTGCCCAACTTGGACGCTCGCAAGCAAAGCCTCATGCGCTTTCGACACGAGCTTCTTCGTATCGAACGCAAGCAGAGAATTGCTTTCCCTTGCAGTAACCCAAGCCACTTTCCCATCAGGAGAGACCTCCACTCGAACGGCGCCGCAGCCCGCCGTGACATTGCTCACGAGAGCTTGGAGGAGCTCAATTGATCCTCCCTAGCGAAAGCGAGCACTGAACTAGCCACAGTTGCGAGGTTCGATCGCACGCTTTGCCCCATTCCTGTCAAATGGTTCCCAAGACCCGAGACAACTCATGATAGCCGTGGCCGAGCACGCTGCACCTCCGTACATATCACAATGTGGAGCTGGCGGTATGGGGAACCCTGGGCTAAAATGTGTAAGTATTTCATAACGTCTCGCAGCATATATAACACTTGAAGTCTCGACACTCATCATACTGACGCCGAACACCAATCGCTAACATTCAATGCCTTTCCTTCCCAGGTCCCGATGTAACCCATGACGGTACCAAGCCCAAATCCGAAAGCCGATATGATCAGATCAGTCCAATATTCATCCAAAAGTTCAATCCCAAAATGTCCAACAATCCAGTCAGATCAGAGCTTAAAGCCAGCCGAGCCTAACACCCGAACTGGCTGCGGTCTCTTCTTCCTCCTTTGTCGTCCCAAGAACCAGTCTTTGTCTCTCCTTATGCCCGCCTTCGCCATCACTTCTGCTTCGGACAGTGTTGACACTGTTCTCACGCTTCAAGTTTGCCAAGCTTCCCTTCCGGCTGACAGCGCCGTCACTTGCGCTTCGCATACTTGCGCGCTCAATGTCAGCATTTACCACCCTAAGTCTTGCCTTTGGTACAGTGAACATCATTTGAACGTCTCGCTTCGATGCCTCGCCTTCCACATCCCATTCGCCTTCAGCTTGCTTGGCTTCTAACGATGAGCGTGGCTCGCCCCAGTCGCCAGCATCAAGGTCTCTTGTTGTCGGCTCTTCTTGCCAATCCTTCTGACCTCGCTTTTGCTTCAGCAAAGCACCGCCATCAGAAACCGTGCGACGAGGTCGCTCGCCTGCGAGGGGCTTTTGACGAATTCGAGTTGGCGATGATGTTGATGTACGTGGCTCAATCTCCTCTGTCGATACTGGCTGTTTGTTTTGGCTGGTCAAGCTGAAGCTGCGCTCATTAGACATTGCGGTAAGCGCTCGACGTAGTGAGCCCATCCATCCTTGCCGACGATTAGGAGGCTGCAGCGGGTCGAGATCAGCCGCGCGGCTCTTACCAGAAGAGCCTTGGGCAGCCAATGCTCTTCGATAGGGATCGTCGCGATCCATGTGCGGCTGTCCACCCAGTAAAGCTTGGCCTTGGCTTTGTAGATCGGCAAACGTTGAGCTAGCTGTCACGAACGAGTCTGTTGACTTTTCCGCTTGATGTCTTGACTGAGGTCGGCATGGTTGTCGCTTCGCATCTGTCTTCGCGTCTCCATGTGATCCTTGAAAGTAGTACGGTGATTTCCGTCCGTTGTTTGAATTTGAAGTTGACATCGTAGCGGTTCGCAGTCCCTCAATTGGTGTGGTTGCCGCTGTCTGGTCCGCCTCTCTCGTCGCAAGCGCTGCTGCCAGGACTGCTCCAGTTCGTGTTGACATCGTCCTTGTGATTGATGTTGTAGAGGCCATCGAACGCTGGGAACGTTCACTTAACGTCGACGAGGTACGATCATCTGTCTTCGTTGGCGATATTCGGCCATTCGACGATCCAGATCCAGGTCCAGACCCGTATGGCTCGTCTTCATCGTGTTCGATGATCTGCCAGTTCATAGATCCTTCAGTCTCAGCAGCGAGAGGGCGACGGGATGGAGACTCCGCTCTACTCGCCTGGTTTGGAACGCGCCTCACAGTCCCGAACGTATCCACCAGGACTGGAGATGTAGGATGGCTGCCAAGAGGGTTGGGGAGCGAGTCAATGAACGGGTCTCGAGGAGGGACATCGACCGCTGTCACAGAGTGCAGCACTCTTTGGAGTTCTCTAAGCTTGGCCTCAGCAGTACTGTAATTGTCGTAAGCTTGTTCAGGTTCGCGTAGCGGTGATGGATCTTGGAATGGATTGAGTGCCGCTGGCGTTGAATCGGAATCGTCCTCGTCCTGATGCTCGATTATCGGGTGGATGCCGCCACTTCCATGCGCCATGCGACTGTCGTCGCAACGTGGAGCAGCGTGGTACGAGTATGGTCGAGCCGCCAAGCCTTTCCTCAGACCCCGGGTAGGACTAGGGATATTTGTGAATAGACCGGTCGAGCCTGCTGGTTGTGACATCTGATACTGACCCACCGCAGCATACGGGTTGCCGCCACGACCATCAACACTTCTTCGATCCAGGAAAGGTTGATCCTGCTCGAAACCAGCAACAGAAACATCGGATGAGTGCACCATCAATGCTCGTTCGCGCTCTTCTCGCTTACGTTTCAGGCGTTTAGAGTACCAAAAGTAGAAAATGATAAGAGCGATTAGCACAGCAACACCAAGACCCAGTCCAACGCCTAAGCCAGTCTGCTGTGATGTCTTGCTCAGCGCTCCGCCGGCAGACGATTGACCTGCGTCAGCTCCAGAGAAGTGAGGATTCGCGTACGAGTCGATCCAGCTATTCGAAGTCGCGTTGTATAGGAGGATGCTTTCCTGAGACTGCCGCTTGATTCTGGACGAAGAAGCACCTTGAACCTGATATCCTCCTACAACCATCATCACTCCACCCGGAAGCATTGTTGCGCCATGACCATATATGCCACTGCCTGAGGGTAGCCCAACTCCGGACTGATCAGGGACAGACCATGTCCATGCTTGCGCTTCGTCTCCTCCGTATTCAGACCCAAGATGAAGAATTGCTAGCTGTGGTTGCGCCGGAGTATTGACATCGCCGACCCAACCTCCAAGCACAATGATCTTCGTGCCATCCTCGGACAGCACAGCGGTATGACCAGATCTTGGCTCAATTGTCGTTGCCGTCTGCCTCAGCGCTAGATCGGTTCTTGCTGCCGAGGGTTGCTGCACGGGCAGGAACGACCAGCTGTTCTGCGGCAGAGAGAAGAGGGCAACTTGAGAAGTATTCAGAAAGGCGTCTTGCGTGTGACCACCAAGCAGGAGGAAGTCCTGCTGTTGGGTCTGTGCAGATCCACTTGCGTTGACTCGGAAGGTCGGAGTGAGGCCTGTCATGGAAAAACCTGCTTCCGCAATAGGTGGTCCTCGTGTTGCAACATGGGCGATAGTGTATGATTCAGCGCTGGTTCCTGGAGCGAGCTCGCGCATGGAGTGCGAATATTGTGCTGCAGTCTGCCAGGTCATAGAGGTGCTGTTGTCAAAAGGACACATGCCAGCGAAAATGTAGAAGTCCAGTTCTGCAGCATCGTCGCCAATATTTGCTGAAAAGCTCAGTGCGCTGCTCAGAAAGCCGACTCCTGCGAATGTGGTGCCTGCGCCAACTTCTCCTCCCGAAGTGTGGTATTGCGACCATGATCCATTCCCACTGTTGCCTTTGACGTCCGGCGCAAATCGCCAGACCTGTGTGCTTCCCGAGTGTCCACAGCTTCCCGCTATTACGGTAATGTTTCCGGAGGCATCGATCACGGGGACATAGGGTCTTAGCGTGTCGTGTTGCAGGAACGGAAGGCTCGAGGCTATCGTCGTGGTGGGAATATGGCTAGTGGCAAGTTCTCTTCCAAGGTCGACGGCCTTGAGGAGTGCTTGGTTGGCAGAGGTTGGTGATTGCTGAAATATATATACGTATGTCGAGTTTGAGGTGGTCAATAGCCGGGTGGGATTGTAAGGCAGTGTCGCATGTGCAAGCGCCAGTCGCACCAAAGCCAGAAGGCTCCAGGGCAACAAATGGTGCTTCATAAGAATAGATAATCGAAATGGTGGTGGTGGTGATGGCGGTGGTGCAAGTCATCGGCCGGCAAAGGGTCGCTTTCGGCTTACAACATTATCGCTTCGTGCTCAGTCGGTCCATCTGCTGGCAGGTCGCCGGCGTGAGCATTCGCAAAGTGACGGTGGTAGGACGAGAACAATGCGCGGGAAATGCGAGGCGAGGCAGCAGGTAACGTTAGGTAGTGTGCCGACTCCTGCAGCTTGTGCAGAGGCCAATGGTTTCGAGAAAGGCAGAGGCAGGCCAGAGGCGTCAGTGGATGTAGGCGTGTATGCTATCTAGTATTCTAGGCTATGCCGCTATGGCCGCCATGCCATGCACATGCGACCTGCTGCAAAAGCTCCAGCCACCGTTATTCTAGCAGCACTCGGCACACCCACATACGCTGTGATTATTGCGCAACAGCCGAAGACCTGGAACAACGAATCGACACTCTCCGTTCCAGCCATCTCCGGGCGAAGACGCTGCTTTGCGCAATGCGGATGGCTAGGCTCTCGTTTGTTGTGAAACATTCGGTTGCCCAGCAACGCCTGCCCTGCTCGAGCGCCAACCTTTGCGCCAAGTACAGCGTCAACGCACATCGGAGTGAAAGTTAGCGTCCGGAGCCCTGGAAGGTGCATAATATTAGCACTTCCGGCACCGCTAATTGCAGTGTCCTATACTAAATCGAGGTGTTAGCGCCGCGGCTAAGCATAGCACCTATAGGAAGGCTTAGCTATTAATTCCTCCGACTAGAGGGCTTAGAAGTTACGTATAGGTACTATCTAGGATATATATAGACTATCTTTTAGTAGATTTAATAATATATCATTTTATAAGCTTTTTGCAATATTAAAGAAAGGAAGAAGGAGTAATTTAGAAGTAAGCTAAAGGTCGTTATATAATTAGGAGTAGGTCTATACTAGATTAATAGTATTCGAGAGTATAATTATAAAGAAGGCGCGGAGGAGTAGTCGGCGATAAATAGGTACTTTCGGTAGTGTCTACGTATATAGAGTCCCCTATTAAATAGTTAGCTTCTCTCTCGTTCCTTTATAATACTATATACTTATACTAACGAGTAGTACGCGTAGTATAGCCGTAGAAGGGGTTGTTCTAGCGCTATTCGTACTCGTAGTACGCCGGCTCTTCGCGATTAACGATATACTAATCTTCTAGAGGTATACCGTCTACTAGACTAGCGCCGTCTAGCTCTTATTAAAGCCCTCGAATAAAGTAAGGAAGATAGAGCGTAGTTACGCCTACTTTCTAATATTATTAGCAGCTATAGAAGTCTAATACTATTAGTTATACCCTCTATCTATTTACTTAGTTTAATACTAGCATTTAATCTAGCTCTATTGCCTTATCGGTCTAGAAGTCTACTAAGGCCGGCTCTATCGCAGTTATCGCAATCTCGTCGCTTTTAGGTTCTATAGTTTAATTGCGAGCGAAGCTCGCCTTATACTAACAAGGGGTACTATAGTAGCTAAATGTGCTAAGTTGCTACTACGTAACTCCCCGGATTTTAGAATTCTAAAGATCTAATTAGCTGCATTTTATACAAACTAGTAGGACGGAAAAACTCGGCGCCCGAATAGCCTTAGGTAAGAATTTTACGTTACTTCCTTATAGCGGATAATAACAAAGTATAACAATATAACACTATGCGCCGATAATACTATACGCTAATAACACTATACGCCGACGCCCCTTTGCGCTAAAGCGATATATTAAAAGAATCTATAACCGTACGACGATACGATATAACGCGCTATACAAAATATATAGCCGCATAAAACATACAAAACAGAAAGAGTTTAGCAGGTTAAAAAAGGATATAAAGGACAACACTTAAGCAAAACTATAGAGCGTATCGGCTAGGGCTTTATAGCGGTTAAATATTGTTATACCTAGCCCTTCGAGATATATTACAAGTTAACTAAGTAAATATACTTAATTTCGGAGATAGTAATATAGAGATATTAGATATATAAATAGACATAGACAAGCGGTCTTAAGGAAGGCTACGTCTATATAGAGCGATAGCGACATAACGGACTATAGCCTTCGAGACCGCGCTTGTCTATATTATAGAACGTAGCCTAATAACAAGCCTGTTTAGTATTGTCCGGATTACGAGGTGTTAGGGCTAAAGAGGCTATACGTGATTAGCATGTAACTAGGCCGAGTGAAGCTAGGGTCTTAATGCCTTAGGCAGGGCTTAGCGCTTAGCGTTAGGCTAACTCTCCTGCCTTCCTCCTGTTACGGTTACTCGCGACAGATCGTTAGGTGACTTCTTATCACGTGCAAGCCGAGGCTTCTTTAGAGAGGCTAATACAAGCGGGAGGCAGAGACAGAATAATTGGTATAAAGGTAATTCCAATTAGTAAGTAGGTAATATAAGTTGAACGCCTCGAGCTATAAGGGCATTCCGGCGTTCCTAAATACAAAGGAGATATCTTGTCTGTAGTCGTAAGCGACGTAAGCGACGCTATCGCTCTCGACCGCTCCTATCGCTCCTAGTAAGATAGAGCGACAGCTCAGCCTACTAGTCTTAGCGTCGCTCTAAGATTATATAAGGACTCTAACTAATTAGATCCGTAACACTATCCCCCTCCTTAAGCGGGATAGTCTCTTATTCCGGA